TCAAGGATGCTCTTGTAGGATGAGTATTCATTAGTCCTTTGAAAGACACGAACAACTCTTAGCTTGATCATTGGCCTGTTGGTCCTTGTTACTTGCTTGATGTTTTCCCATGTTTTTGCCATTTTTTCTGCTTCACTTCTTTACGTACAAACGGTAGTAAGTTTTTTTTCTGATACGTGATGCACTATCATTCTATCATTATATAGACATGGGGATAATAGTTGATAACCATTAGAATAATTTAAAATATGAGTTTTAATAAATGGAGACTCTGTATGATGATAAGTGCAATTTAGTTGAGAAGATAAGTCATTTCGTTGTCAATATATCTCAGTTAAATCACACCATGCGATTTAACAAACCACGTGCTATTTTAAAGGTGTCACTATCTTATTTTTCCTATAATATCTCCACAATGTTAATTATAATTCAGTTTGTGATTTTGCATTGATAAGGTACAATGTCGTTGAATTTTAAATCATCATTTATTTTTTTATTTTTTTTTTTCCAACGATATAATCAATATAAAATAAAAAGCACAAAAGTGCGAATACACAACAGCCAACGGCTGAAAACACGCAGCCAACAGCTGAACAAAGAGAACGAAAAAAGGGAGGACAGGTCAGACGACCGCCTAATATCCCGACTAGCAAAGCTAGAATAAAAAAAACACCACGAACCACAGAAAAACGACAAACAACTACAAAGCCCCAACAGGGTAATACCCGAGCATCGGACCCCAACAGGGTAATACCCAAGTGTCGGATCCCAACAGGGTAATAAGGTGACACTTGGGCACACAAAGAGACACTCGGGCGCACAGAGGCCAACGGCCCAAACCTAAAACACGGACACTAGAAACAAAAACACGAATCTAAACAACACAACACAAATCACAAAGCAACACAAAACAAGACAAAGAAAAACGGCAACACGAGCCCTTCCCACAGCGGAAAGCCACATCGAGCACAAACATGGTAGAGTTGAACCCAAAATCCCGACCCAGAAACTGCACGAGCACCTAACTGAATCGAAGAACCACGGGCCGGCCCAACCCTCATCCAGACGAACAAACCCCACCGTCACCCGGAGAAAACAAACCCCAGCCAAAAACAGACAACTAAAGCCCGACGATTACCGACGACTCCGGCCCTACAACAAGCACGACAATCACCGGCAACCGCACCACACCCACCTCCCAGGTCCAACAATCGCCGACGACCCCACCACCGACACACCGCACAGACCTGCAATTGCCGACTCCCCGCGGCTCGAGCAGAGTAGCTCAGCCCGACGAACCGAACAATAGCAAACAACCACACCTCCAAATGACACCTACAGTCGCCGGCGACACTGAAACACTACGGGAAGAATCAATTTGACTGAAGCCCTTTCTCCTCCCCAAACCCTAACTCGGATTTTGGGGTCACAGCCCTTCCAAAGAGAGCACCAGAGGACCACCGAAATGGACAATACCGGAGAAGACCGTCCACCCGAACCTCACTTCCGGCACCAGAGACGGGAACCAGAAAAGCGGGCACGACCGTCTCCCGGCGAGAAAGCACCCCCTCCCCCGTGCGACACTTCTCTCGGAAAAGGGCTGCGAAGTTCAGGGGAGCCACCACCTTGCACTCGCCGAGCCCAACTGGGGAAGGCAACGGCTAGAACGACGGACTCCCCGAGAGAGATGTAATCGGAAGTCGGAAAAAAGTATGAAATCGGAAATCGCCCAATCGGTTTTTGTACTTGGTTTATGGAGTCATGCCAAAATAATTCACTTTGACTTACTTAAACAAAATAAAACCGATCAAAACTAGTTAGATTCATATCCAATTAATCCGGTTAGACGCTAATGTCACGCTTTTATTAATAGGATTTTAGATAAATTAATTCTCAGTATCACGACCCGTTCAACTGTTCCAAGTATGTACACGACTTTTTTTCACTCCTGGAGAGACTAAAGAAAACACTAAGAAAAATAAAAGATACGGAGTATCTGAGAAATCCAGGCGTACAATATTGTACCTTTCAAAATCCTTCACTACAAAGACACAAATATTTCAACTTTGAAATTTTAATACAAAGAATCCATCAGAATTCAGAATAGCAAAAGGACCCAAATATACATATATATTCGCGTATATATGTGTATGTATATAAATGTTTCTTTTTTTTTTAATTTCTTTATGAATGTTAATTGTAAACTTTATAAGTTGATGTAGCAGATCCCAACACACCCGCGCATGTGTCCAAGTAATAATGGCCATTAATGATAAAACACACTCATTGCATTATATTGCTCATTTGCTCAATGTCAGCAGTCAATTGAATAGAGACGTCGAATGGCTTGGCTTATGAAGTCGTTCATAGTTATTCACAAATAGTGTATTGACACGTGTTCGACAATAAGTACACTTTAGACATATGTCAATACATTAACTGATCGATGGCTACATAAGAAAACCATCATATGGCTCCATAGAATTTTTGTTATCATTAAATATTAAATATGGCTACTACAACCAAGGACGGATTCAATATAAAAATCACGTAATATTTTTTTCTTCAAAATTGAAGTCGTGCTCGACGTGCTTTTGCAATATAAAGTTCATGATGCTCATTTTGTACCATATTTGATGTGCTTTCACTAGTTTGACGGTCCCGTTTTATAAAGAACAATGATAACAGTGGGCTTTTTTATTTCTTGGCCGAAGGTTGGTGCTCCATGTGAATTTCTAGAAATTCCGCAATACCAAAAAATTGATCTTCCATATGACATAGTTATTAGCAAAATGAAATGCATACACATCATAACTTTAAATATATCCAACTATGATATACAACAAACAAATTAGAGGTTAAGATTTTTTTTAAAAAAAAAAAGAAAAAAAAACAATTGCTACTTTATACACAATCACAAAACAAAAAATACAACAAACGATCCTAGCAATTGCCATTAAAACTCAAAATAACTCAACAAAAATAAAAAGATAAATAAAGACAATTCAAAATAGGGGGTTTAAAAATATAACTAGCTTTTAAAAAATAAACTAAATCGTCTTCTTGAAAGTAGTCTCGTTCTTGTTGAATAGTTTTTCTTTTTCTTATTCTTCTATATTAATTGTTCTGGTGTTCAGAGGAGAGGCATGACCGCGGCTAATTTATTTGATTATAGTTTGACGTATAGTGGTGTTTTGTAGGTTAGTGCCTAGTAAAAAATGTGGGACAACAATATATAATATTTTATTAGAGCGGTGTTTCTAATCTCTGAAAGATAAGTGAATTATTTTGCTGGATTAATGAATTGGTATATTGGGTTGGGCTAAATACACAATAAAACTAATTTAAACTAATAATTGTTAAAAAAAAATAATATAATAGCCCTGGACTTCAGCCAGCCCAGCCCAGGCCTAATATAAATCCGTCAATGACTACAATACCCGAATAATTAAACGTTAAAAAATAATGAGAAAAAGTTATTTTAAAATTTAAATATTTTTAAAAAAATCATATTACTCTTTATATTTAAAATGACACATCTTATTTATACGACTTACTCATCTTATATTATAAGTAGTTTTTAACTAATATCATATAACTGCATATTAATTAAATTTAATTTAAATAAATTGAATTTTTTTTCAAATAATATTAATAGATAATTTGTTTTTTTATTATAAAGGTAAATGTAATTATTTATTTATTTTGTATATACAGTATAGATGTCAAATCGAAATTCATTAAAAGATGATTAATTTAGTATATCACATATAAAAAATGTAATGAATCATAAATAATTAACTTTTAAATATATTTACAATTTAAATTAGTATTTTTTTATAGTTTTATAAGAAATACTAAGGAGCATAAAGATTGGAAAAACTTCATGTCTATAAACCACTTCTAGAATATGAATGATATTAAAGCATGATTAATGCTTCTAAAAAGTATCATAAATATCTAATATATATATTTTTTTTTTAGGCCTAGTTATTTATGGACTGGAATTAAATTCAAATCTACCCAAACCAATGATAAAACATGAAAATTTGCCATATAAGCGTGCAATTATGTCACTTAAACTCAGCACATTCAGAAATTGTATACAAGAGATAGAAATTATGCTTCCTAGCGAAATAAATAAATCAATAAATAAATAAAAGAACAATAAGGTCGTGTTGAAATGCTGCTATTTGTCCATATTTTAGTAAACCCACCATTAGTGATTTTAAACCTTTCACATTTATACAATTATTATTTGGTGGATAAATATTCAACTCCCTATCATCTACCGTGAATTTATCCTTCATAATTCCATACGTTTTTTCATAACCTATAAATAGTGGCTATGATTGTTGTAAGAAAACATATCAAGAGCATACAACAAGAATTTAAGTGAAATGTGCTCTTTATTTTTATCTTGATAAACCTTAAGACTAGCAAAAAAGAGGACCAATCCAAAAGTCTTCCAACGATTAGACACCAGACGTGGCCAAGGTTGGCCAGGCTTGAAACCGGCCCGGATTTAGGGGTCTTGGAACCGGACCTGTGGTAAAACCGGGCCGGTTCCGGGTCTTTAATTTTCTTCTTTGACCCGCTGGTTCCGGGTCAGGTCTTAGTTGTTTTTTATTAAGAAAATGAACCGCCCGGTCCGGCCGGTTCTGGGCCCAGCATTTGAGGCCTCCCGACCCAGCGGGCCAGGCCGGGCAGGGTCGTGAACCGGCTCGGCCTTTGGACACCTCTAGACACCACAACAGAGTTCGACACAAAAAGCATTCAAAGCCATATAAAAACTTCTATACAAACAAGTCTTACATTTATTTTTGGAGGCTCCTAATTACAGCCAAGCACAAAATATCTACAAAACCGTACTTTTACTCGAGACAGCCAACTTCAATACACGTAAGAGGCATAAATTGTATTTTTCACAGATACTATGGAGATCAGAGTTCACATACTTTAAGTTATAAACCGGCATATCATAGATAAGTGTTCCAGTTTCACTGGTCACCGTTGATCCCCAAGATTCGGACCTTGTGCATATTTGGGAACTTAGCCACGACCAAGATGAGGACAGCAAGTGTGTTAAGGAAAAGCATGGGATGTTCGTAGTCCGTGGTGTGCGAGGCTATCAAGTAGCTGCCAATAGCACGAGGAGAAACTTATTTAGAAATAAAAAAATGAAACATAATTTTGAGAATCACAAAACCATCCCTTGAGTTAACATCATTATAGAAGTTGAGTGTGAAATGGGAAAGCATTTGATGATACAGCAAATTCTGTCAAGGGATCAACGGTTGGGAAAAAGACGTAAGATGTAACAACTCACAACACCTCAAGTGTGGTTTTTTGTAATTTTTAGGTTCATAGGGCTTTGCTGTAATTTCTTCAAACCTCGGGATAATGTTGTAACTATTCCCCAAAAAGAGTTACATAAATAGAATTGTTTCATGTAAATAATCGGGAAAGATCAGCCATTAACGCAGTATGTCTCAGCTCCACAAATAAAATCATTAATCAAGTAACCTTCATAAAGGAAGACGGTATATTTATCAACGACTATTTCCTTAGAAACAGCTAAGGTAAAAGATATTTTCACAATACTGTTATCTACTTTCCAGAAATATAGACGACGAGAAGTTGCCCACGTCCTAATATTCTTGCATCCTAAAAATAAATATGATACTAGAAGCATCCTTTCAATAAATAGTTTGCTTAACAAATTGAAAAGCCATCCAACAATAAGGTATTTAGAAGTCGGTGGAAACCACCAAAACCAAGTGTGGTGACTAAGGTAGTTAATAATTCATTAGGGTATCTAAACATCCAACTGGTCCCTCGATAAAAACTCACATGGAACCAAAAAGTAACCAACAACAACGTCTTTATTCCAATATGTGAGGAAGACTATATGGATCATATCACGCCCATCGATTTTTGCCAAATGTCATACTTCCATTCGATCACGTATCAACTTTTTTTCTAATAATAACTACCAAATGTCGAATTCATTTTACAGCAATAGCATAATGTCACACTTCCATTTAATTGCATAACATATTTTTTTTTCTAATAATAACTTTCAACTTCCGAATTCATTCTACAGCAAATAGCATAGTAAGATCACTAATAAGAAAATACAATGGGATAGGCAGATGTCAGAACCCAGTGAGAGTAATGACACATATTAATAACATTAAGATGAAAAATCATAACACTACATAATCTTATTGATGAGATTTATCAGCAGTATACCACGCATATACCCAGAATAAGAAAGCGATTCAGTAAGGATCACATGAACGAAGGACTTACAGGACCACGGGAACAACTGTGAGGAACTTTCTATTGCGAGTGAGCTGTTTTCCACCGTCCATCTGCTCCCACCATGTCAAAGAATTATATATCCCCTGATCATCACCGAAAGGGGTCCCTTTCTTCCAATGGAAGAAATGGTAAGTCACCTATAAAACAACGAAAGTAAATGCCATCGTGTTGAAAGAAAACCTTGGATAGGACTAACCATGAAAAAGAATAAAAGAAAACTCATGAAAGATTTCATCTAATAAAAAAGATAAATAATGTAAATAACCTCTCAGAAGAAAAGTTTGGCACAAAAGCAAGTGGATTATTCATGCAATGGTATTGGCCATTGGAAACTTGAACCCACAAAACAAATGAGTCATAGATAAGTGCACATTACTACGCAAGGTATTTAACATATTTCTAGCCTTTAGACCATATCTAATCAATGTCAGGATCATTAAAAGCTATTACTTAACGCCTACTTTTAAAAGTGCCTACTTGAGCACATATTTGTCTTTTCTTTTACGCCTAAAAGTTTCTCCAGCAGACAAATGCTTAATGATGAAATAAAGGAGTTACTGAACACCATTAGAAGTAAAAGTCAAGATTCAACAGGCGAGCCATATGATCATCATAAACAACACAACGTTGCAGATGCCGTGATATCACATTGAAAAGACTAATTTTCATGCACACTCATTTCATATGTATATTCCTCCCTGTTAAATTACAAAAGTACGAATAACTACGTCGAATTTTATTGTGTGCATAAATACATTTCCATATATAGAGAGCGGATAAAAGTTTCTCCAGCACAAATGCTTAATGATGAAATAAAGGAGTTACTGAACAGCATTAAAAGTAAAAGGCAAGATTCAACAGGCGAGCCATATGATCATCATAAACAACACAACGTTGCAGATGCAGTGATATCACATTGAAAAGACTAATTTTCATGCACAGTCATTTCATATGTATATTCCTCCCTGTTAAATTACAAAAGTACGAATAACTACGTCGAATTTTACTGTGTGCATAAATACATTTCCATATATAGAGAGCGGACAATGAGGGGTACTCTTGACACTTGTTAGAGCAAAAAAGAAGTAAAGAAGTTCCACAGTATCACAATACACAACACAGCCATTAGTACTGCAGATCCCAAGGTCCTAAAATAAGACCAGCGAATGTCGCACTTTCAGTTAAGCTTAAAAAGAAGGGTAAAAGCGGCTAATAAGTCAATACAGTTTCTAAGAAGTGCATCAGACAGCAAAATCAATGAAAGATTACACACAACAAATACAACATACAGGACCTAGCCTGAAAGTTCCAAAACATACCACCAAATACACTTACAGAAATGAGATACATCAGAAGGATTTGACAAATATATTAGCCTGATCAGCAGTTAAACTAATCCAAGCCGAGTTCTATCACACCCTAAAACTTTCATCTATCCGTAAATGAGCATAATCATGTAAGAGCTTGCCTATTCAAAAAACCAAGCATCGTGTACCAAACATAATACCGTAGAACAAGCCACATCGTGTCCATCTATTCAGCGACCGCTAAGTAGCTTTCCCACTTACATAGTGAAATCTCTAAGGAGAATAATCATGTAAGAAATAATCACAAGCAACCAACAAAAATCCAGAATAATGCACTCCCAAGAACACAACAAAGTCCAATTGACAAAAGACTAACCGAACCAACTACACTGAATTTCACAAACTTTGATATTTAAAAGTCCAACCGCATTAACTTTCTAACATATCACACCAATCCTTCACCAGTTAAGCTGCCATTAAGCTTGTCAATTTTTAAACTTGGATTGGCCTCAACCAAACAAGCTGAGAAACAACAAACATAAGAATAATATACAACCAATAACAGAAACGCGCGAGCGCCCCCAACACACACAC